TCCAGAATTATGCAGTATTATGGTTTCTAGCCTTCGGTGCAATAAAATCACTTTTGGCAGGTTATATAAGTTTTAGTTGGATTTATTAATCATGTTCTATTAGAACATTTTTTTGTTAAGAAAAAATGGGGCAAACTATTGTTTGCATTTCAGGTTGCACGCATTAGCCAGTATTCTTTTAATGAGACCATTTCCTATGGCCCTATGGGGGTGTTGTTTGAGAAACCTTTAATAAGTAAACTTTTATTCATCTTCATGAGAGTTAAACTATGTTGCTCCTGGGGTACTTCTCGTTCATTTTAACATTCAATAAACACTATTGGCATAACCATTTCCTAGTAAATATCTAATCGGTTTTTTAAAACCATTTCTCAGTACAGTTTTAATGTATACATGCATTTCTTTCCTAGGAGTTTTCTCATACTCTTTTTTCTGCCTAGGTGAGTACCTTTTACCCTGATGGTAGTGATGGATGCCTTGAAGCAATGCCAATAGACTAACACAAAAATGTTTTGTGCAGTCGAAAGCAGCGCAATGTGTTCTATTCCATCGCAGTGTGGATTTTCTGTAAAATTGCATTAATTTTCATCTTTGCTAAACTTGGGAAATACGATTTCAGAGCTCACATCTATTTATGTATATGATATGCCATAGCTATTAATGTCTCTCTTTATATCTGTTCCTTGTTGTTTGGTCACTGAAAATTATATTTAATCTTTTGATGCAAAAACAGTGCTTTTCTGAGTTACTCTTGGAAGTTGATTTATTAACATTCATATGTTATGCTCTACACCATAACCCCATAAATTAAAATATACTAGTATATTATATTATCTATTTATTTATTAGTTTTATTTATTTCTTTTACTTTTATGTTGCTCAAGCAAATGCCAGATGGTGAGTTAAGTCTTGAGGTTGATGATTATGTTGTATTCTATCGATCAAGTATGTGGTATATTAAGTACTTTTTAATCACATTTGGATTACTCAAATGATATGACAAATAGTGAAGTTTGGATCTTTTTTTAGTGGTTCTGCAGCCAAGGGGGAGTGAGATGCTTGGTGATATTTGTTTACTTGTTTCTGATTTTTTTACATTATGAGGTCATTAGTTCTTTGCAGGTTCAAATTGAGGTCAAGCGGCCTAGATTCATGCCCTTCTTTTTCTTGCCACTACTAAGAAGATTCCATACCTTTCTTGTCTTTAGATTTGCTGAATAGTTCAATTAGAGATTGCTAAATACAACCGTGAAATGGAGGAAATGAAAATGGACATCATCACTCTACAGGAAGAGATTAACCTGTTGAAGAATGTGAGTCATGTGACGAGCTGAGTAATACCTTGGAACACACACACGAATTAGAATAGGAAAAGAGAATCTTTTCACTACTAAAGATTGTGATGTATGAAATGTAGATCTATAGCATCTTGTAATATACTTAACTTTATTTGTATTGACTCTGAATATTTTGTATAACTATTTGGGTAATAAATGAAAATATTGATCCTTTGTTTTGGTTATTTATCAATATTTGTGTAATGGAACTTGTAAGGAATAAACCAATGTATCCTACATCTTTATGATATAAATGTGTCACGAATTTCATGATACCAATGTGTCATGAAAATTTCATGATACCAATGTGTCACTGTTTTGTAAAACATTATTGTGTCATAATTTGCTGACACTAATGTGTTTTACGATTAGTGACACTATATTTAGTGTCACTAGCCGCCACTTTTCCCGACGCTTTTTTAGTGTCACAGAAACTTTTAGTGACACTAATTTAGTGTCACTGTAAGCCCTTTTTCTACTAGTGCTACCATCATAAAAATTAAGATGAAACTGATCCCCACGACAAAATCATGCGACCTCTTCCAGGATGACCAGCTCAAAGGACTCTTGTACATTCACCCACCCACTCGTAACACAAAGATTCAATCTAACAATATCACTTTGTATTATACAATTGAAATGTACAAGAGATATTTTACAAGTAAACGGGTAGCTCACATCACTCTTTGCATATAGGACTACTTCACTCTCACTCTCCTATCTAAAGGAGGCTCTCCCTCACTCAAGAGCTCTCCTTGAGGCTCCTCTCTTACATCCCTCAAGGAGGCTCTCTCTCTCTAGGCCCTCACTCGTATGACTCTCTCTCTCTTAGGCTCACTTCTAAGGTCTCTTCAAGAATGAGCTGAGGAGTCTCACCCTTATTTATACTATACTCTCCTCAAAGCTTCTCTAGAATTCTCTATACAACACTATACTTCTCGATTCTTCCAAGAAGTGTCCACAGGCTTCTCTATTCTTCTAGAAGGCTTCTCAGTAGAAAGATCTCGTGATAGTATGATGAGATCAAACATGTCGAAGGTGTTTGAGCTCCCACTCTTTGATGGGAAGACCAACTTTACGCTGTGGCAGAATACGATCCAAGACCTATTGGTGCAGCAAGGTCTTGATCAAGCTCTAGATGAAGAGAAGCCTACCTCCATGAGTGATAGAGAGTGGAGCGCGATGCAGAGGATGGTTGTGAGTACAATCCGGTTGGCAGTTGCTCCTGAGATTTGGTTTAGTGTATTGAAGACTTGAAGGAGACAACACCAAAGGCGTTGTGGGACAATCTCGAGAGAATCTATGCATCGAAGTCACTGACTAATCAATTATGCTTGAAGATGGAGTTGTACTCACTCAAAATGGATGAAGGAGGTAATCTTCATGATCACATAAACATGTTCAATCAACTTGTATGCCAACTAATGAATGCAGATGACAAGATCAAAGATGAGGAGCAAGCATTGTTGTTATTAGCATCACTACCGAAGTCCTACAAACCATTGGTCCAAACTCTACTTGTAGGAAGGACAACTCTCACACTGGATGAGGTGACGACAACTTTGCGTGAGAGTGAGAGGATGTTAAAGAATGACAATGTAAATATAAGTGGAGATCGCCTACTAGTTGTGGGAGAACGAGAACGAGAGCGAGGAAGAAACCTCTCAAGAGAGCAAGGTAACCCTAGATGGAGATCAAAGTCTCGGCCGCGTCAAGATCTAAGTGACATGGAGTGTTATTACTGTGGGAAAAGGGGTCACATTCAAGGGAGATGTCATGAATTGAGGGAGGACTTGAAAAAGTTTAGGGAGGTATCTCGAAGCAAGGATAATAGTGACTCCCATACCAATGCGGTCTGTGATGAAGATGACGGTGATGTTTACTTAGCAACAAGTGAAGAGGTTGCCAAATCTAAGTGGGTGATGGATAGCGCTGCCTCAATGCACATATGTCGTGTTCAAGCCATGTTTGATACCTTGAACACTAATGGAGAGTTCGGTCACTTCAACTTAGCTAACGACGAGAAGTTAAAGGTTGAAGGTTCTGGAAGCATAAAGATGGTGCTTCATAATGGTTCAAGCCACATTCTTCACAATGTGAGGTACATGCCTTCGAGTAAAGCTAATGTCATCTCGTTGGGTGCATTGACATTAGAGGGGTGTAAGTATTTTGGCACAAATAAGTGGTGCAAGGTATTTAAGGGAAGACACTTGCTCATGAGAGGACAGAAAAATGAGAAGAACGTTTGCTTCTTGGAAGGCAGTGCAGTGAAAAGAAGACGCGCCGGAGGAGTCAAGGAAAAGAAAGTCAAATTTTCGGAGATCACTGAAATATTTGGAAATATGAATTAAGGGAGGAATTTTTAGGATGTTATTCAATATTTCCAAATACTTTGTGAAATTCTAGAGAATTCTAGGACTATGTGGAGATTAGTAGAATTCTCTAGAATATTGTGGAATTATCTAGAGAAATATAGTATTCTCTAGATGTGTGTAGAATGTTATATAATCTTTTAGAATACTCTAGTCTCTAGAGAAATGTAGAAATCTCTAGAAATGTGTAGAAGGATGTAGAGTAGTCTAGAGTGTTCTAAATAAGTGTGGAGTCATCTAGCTAGATTCTTCAAGAAGATAATGGAAGCTTGTGGAGGCTCCTTGAAAGAATCTAGAATGTGGAGAGGTGGGTGGAAGATTCTAGAGAGGGAATCTCTACCCCTTTGTGAGTAGTATAAATAGATGGTGTAGCCTTTCATTTGTGGTGTGAAAGAAAGACTTCTCATAAGTGAGGAAGAGTGAGTATTCTCAACTAGAAAGTGTGAAGTGAGAAACTCGTTCGTTTGTACACTCTGTTGTAAATTTCAATTATATAATACAAAAGTTTTTTTTCTTAGCTCGTGATCCTGGTAAAGGTCGGGGTGTCGTGTTTTTCCCAACACACTGTTTATCATCTTCAAATTGACGGACAATCTGAGGTGGTTAACTAGGATCAGAACAGGGCATTTACTATAGAGATTCCTAAGATATGGTTTAATTTTTGGAACATTGGGAGAGTTTTGTTACAACACTTGCTATGCTACCACGAGAGTACAAAAATTAAAGTACCCCTTTACAAGCACTTGAGGTCGCCCTCCTCCAACGATACTATGTTACGCACCTAATCTACGAGTGAGCTACTATTGTTAGGAGTGAGCTATTCCTAACATTTAATTTTACCGTCAGATTTTGCATTGTCAAATTTTAATACGGCATTATAATTGCCATTTTGTACAAGAGTAATTTCATGAATGACCATCAAATCAAATTAATATCATCAAGCAATGATGTCATTTTGTTGGCATAATGATAATTATAAAATATTTTTGATTCTCCCTCCGTCCCAAAATTAATTTCGGTTTTGACTGGATACGGGAATTAAGAAAGTGGAAAATGTGTGGTGGAAAGTTGTGCAGAGGAGAGAGAAATGTGTAAGAATGATTGTGAACCACAAATCATTTGCCAAAAAAGGAAAGAGAAGAGAAATTTGGAACGAACGAAAAAAGAAAGTATGAAGATAATTTCGGGATATCATTCTTTTTGCTCAGTCAGAGAAGCTATGCTACTCGCACAGTCGCAGGTAGGCCCTTATATACGGATAAGGGAGTTTTACTTTAGTGTCCTATTTTGACTTGGTAGGTGAGCTCCACCCTCTATAAATGTGCGCCAGAGAAACAGATTCGGCAGGGGACTTTGATGTGCAAAGCCTCTTGTAAACATACACTTGTAATAATAAGCCATTTCCATCAATACAAATATTAGTTCTCCTTTTGATCTTTTTTATCAACAAAAGTAGAGCAAGAAGTAACAATAATTGTGCATTTTCCATGGATGCTTCTTCTTCTAAGGCTTTTAAGTTAATTTCTGTAGTCTACGGCTTATTATTGTTAGCCTCAAATTGCTCCGTTCATGGCCAGTACCGGTCGATCATTAGCTTCGGCGACTCCCTCGCCGATACCGGAAATTTAGTCCGCCTTTCGAAATCGAACAGTAACGTCGTCTCCGGCGTCCTTCCGTACGGAGAGACCTATTTCCACCACCCTACCGGTCGCTTCTCCGACGGTCGTCTCGTCGTTGACTTTATAGGTACGTAGAAAATGTTTTCATGACACGTAGAATATGTATAATTCGTACGTACAATTAATTAAATGTTAATATTATTGGTTGTACTGTACGGTGCAGCCCAGAGCATGGGATTACCGCTTCTGCCGCCTTCCGTTGCGGTGAAAAACAGTAACGGCGGCGACCAGTTCATTGAAGGCGTGAATTTCGCGGTGGCCGGAGCAACCGCACTAGATGTTTCTTATTCTTTGGAAAGAGGAGTCGTTAACCCCGACACAAACGTTTCATTGGGGACTCAATTGGAATGGTTCAAACAAATGCTTCCTTCTCTATGCAGAACTGGATCAAGTAAGTTCGATTGGAAATATATAGAATTTTTTAAATAAAACATCGACGCAAAAATAGCAAAAAAGTATGTTTTATTTTTCAAATAGGACTTATTCAGTCCTATATTTAGCACTCCCTCCGTCTCGGATAAAAATTGACGTTTGCTTTTGACACGGTATTTTAGACGTCAATTAACAGAAGAACAAATATCTTGCATGCCCTTTGACTTTTGGGGGAAATTAATAGTATCCACTCAAATGTAAAAAATGAGTGGGTAGTGAAAGATAGTTAGGACATTTAATGTAAAAGAAATTGCCTAAAAAGGGAACGTAAAGGAGTTAATGGGACGTCCCGAAAAGGAAAGTGTAATGATTTAAATGAGACATATGGAGTAATATTTTGAAATAAGATAGTACCACTCTAGTGTTATTTATAATTATTGAGTACGGAGTACTATTTATGGACTTTATAATTATTTTAGTCTTATTAGGAATTTTTTGTCGAAAAAATATGCAAAAAATAAAATACTCTGTATCTTTTTAAAGGAAAAATAAATTATATTCCGAAAAAAGCAAAAATAAATTATCTATAAATAATAAATTTGTCTAACAAATAAATAATCCGTGCAGTTCCCGTGCATGTCACGGGCAGAATGGCAGATGCCACAACTTTTATGTCTTTCCAATTAGTTGTGCATAATTAAGAAAGGTGTAGAAATATTTACCACTAGTTTTAAAAAAAATTGATAGTGGAATAAATTATATTAATAATTGAAGTTTTTCATTGACACTATAATATAAGAATAATACTAAATTGATTATTTTACTTGATTCTGACCGTTTACAAATATTCTTTCATCGCGACATACATCTTAACCTATACATACGTCTTAATTCAAATAGGACTTGATAGAAAAATGGGTAAACAACCCTTCAATTTAATATATAGCTCGTTTGGTAATAATAAAATTGATTGAATTGACTGATTATGTTGAAATTGATTAAGTTCTGCCTGAATAAGATGCATAATTATTTTATAGTTTTAATAGTGTGAAATTCAAATAATTTGTCAGATTGAGAAATTTGCACAACTGAATTTACAATTTTAATTTCTATACCTTGTTTATTAACTTTATCAGATTTCAAATAAAAACGAATGTCATAAAACTTTAGTGACTTTAGAGAATTTTCTCAAAATGCTCAATGTGACATATTAAAATAGACGTACTACATTACTCTATACGTAGTATATCTTAGTGAAAGCACCTTATGTAATTATGCACCTCGTATCACAAATTATGTGTGCCATTAATGTCATGACAATATAACTCCAGTTTTCACTCTGAAAAAAAAAAACTCCAGTTTTCTTTCATGCCGCGGTAACCCTTTAACTTGTACTCCGTACTATCATAATAATCTCTTTACATGTAAGTCAGATTTTAATTTCTATACCTTGTTTATTAACTTTACGTGTTTATAGGATGATTTTCCTTTCCGGTGTATCCTTAAAAATTATAGGAAATTTTCTGAACTTTTTTTTTATTTTGAAGTAAGTAACACTCATCTCAGAGAATTACTTGGGAATATAGTATCTCCAAAGGGTCTTTAACTTATTGCACTCATCAATATCAAGATCTATGTACACCATGCTTGAGGGGGGTGTTGATAAACATAAATTTCCTGCACAATTAGAACAAATTTACTGAATATTGAAGAGGCAATGCACATGATATTATCACAAAGAAGTCAATGCACAATGGAATTTGAACTGTTAACTTTATTATTGTGATTACTTACCATTATAGTCTTTAACTATAGTAGAGGTAACAACTATCACAAAATGTTTTGTAGGCTCATCGAGTTTATTTCGTTGTTTGGTAAGGTGATCAATGCATTGACCCCATAGTCTTACTTTGATGTGTTTCGCCCTGCATGGTAACAAAAGTGAGTACATGTGATTGGACGTTACTTGAATTTTGTAGGATAAAAAACTATATAATTAGTAAATAGATATGAAACATACTACTGGTCTTCTATTTCAATAGTTTCGCATCCATTAAGATCATAATCGTACACAACCATGCCAACCACATCTGCAAGAACAATATTTAGTGGTATAAATTGATTATAGAAATATAACACCAATATAATATTTAGTAACAATATTTTTTCATACCAGTCAAACGATATTTACTCCCAAGACGACTCTTTAAATTGTTGAAAGATATGAAGTCAAATTTATAATTCTGCACTTCAATTGCTTCTCCTTTGACTTCTTTGATGACAGTGTTATGGAAGAATTGTAGCATGATTTTATTATCGGATACAACACGATATTCTTCTTTATTTGGAACCATTGATAAATATTTTATGATGTGTATCATTACTTCCTTTATTTTGGGACGTAATGTATGAACATATCCACTTCTTATAGATGCATGAATATAATTACCCTGCGACCACAAAAAAATATCATTAGTTTTTTTTTCTAAAACAGGTGCATTTAAAATTGGAAATTTAAGAAAAAGCATACCTCTTCATCGATCAGAACCATGTCTAGACAAATTAAGCTTCCTTGCCTTTTGTGATTGATGACATCACAAAGGCGTGTAACACGAACTTTGATTGTCCAGTCGGACTTGGATGTATCAAGCTGACGTATTAGAAAATAACTTCTGCATTTTATGGAATATTAATCAATCAGGTATAATTCATAATAATATCATGTATCATAAACATGTGAATGGTAAAGTATTATATGTACATAGTATTCAATAATATATCATTAAAAATGTTGTAGAAACTTACGGAATGACATTCTTGATATAATAAGAACACTAAACAATAGAATTCTTCAAACTAAGGAGAAAGTCAATAGTGAAAATACACTTTTCTTTTCATTCTCTTTGTATTTAAAATAGCTTACATATGCACTATAGGTAGTTTTTATGTTTCTAATTCTAAATTTAGAAACATAAAATATACTAAAAGTTTACTCCAAAATTACGTAGCTTTAGATTTAGAAACTTAAAATATACTAAAAATTTATTCTAAAGTATGAAATTAGAAATTAAAAGATGATGAATAAAATCATCTTTAAATTATGTAGATTTAGATTACGTAGCTTTAGATTTAGAAACTTAAAATATACTAAAAGTTTATTCTAAAGTATGAAATTAGAAATTAAAAGATGACGAATAAAATCATCTTTAAATTACATAGCTTTAGAACACGTAGCTTTAGATTTAGAAACTTAAAATATACTAAAAGTTTATTCTAAAGTATGAAATTAGAAATTAAAAGATGATGAATAAAATCATCTTTAAATTACGTAGCTTTAGATTATTATTACGTAGTTTTTTTTATTCTAAATCAGATTTATAAGAGTGTCGAATAAAATCAGATTTTATACAAATATGAGTTACCAAATAAGATGTGATATAAAAGGTAAAAAAATTAAAAGATATAGCAAGTAATTAAATATTAAATAATAGTTATATATGATGACATGGCAGGATTATGTGGCACTCCGTATGCTCTTGAAAAGTTCCTCTTTTATATATATATATTGATTATTCACGTTGTGAGATGCAATTTTTTTAAAGAAAGAGATGCAAATATTACTCCTTCCGTGTCTATTTAATTGACCCGTATGCTTTTTCACGTAGTTTAAGGCAAATATATGTAAAGTGGGAGGTTTTTGGTACTGTAGCGATACTGTAGCGGTATTGTAGCTGCTTTTTGAGTGAGTTTATTTCCAAAAAGGGAATGAGACATTTATTTTGATACATCTCAAAAGAGAAAATGAGTCAAGTAAATAGATACGGAGGGAGTATTAACATAAACATGTCACAAGTTCCTCATCATTCATTAATGTCTTTAAAGAGACGAAATATTAATTAGTTGGACTAATAATATAACGACTTTTTACTCCGTATATGTAATTCCTTGCATATGGAATATATGGAATAATTATTTTTCGTTAACTTAATCATACAAAATGTAAAGATTGACTTATATAAAGAAAAATACTCCGCATATAGTTCTTTACACATGGGATATATGAAGTAATTCGGTGACACTGTAACTAGACCCATGTTAGTCACTAGCTATAAGCATGAAAGTGCATTTCTATATATACAAAAAGGTACCTATTATATTTTTCTTTCGGACAGAATGTGCAAAACAGCAAAATTGGTAAACGGCTGGGCTATTCATATATATATCGAGTATTATATAAATGAATCGCTCTTTTCAATTCAAATTAAAGATTCTCAATTCGGCCAACAGAGTTTAACTAGAAAAATGAATCTAATTATGCACGTTTAAGTTTAATCAATGAGTTAAGAGGTTAAATTTATTCCAACCATTTATAGGAAAATCTTGGTATGAACACTGTTTCATTCCGGACCTGTTCGAACCCAGACTGGCAGGTCCTAACAAATATTATTGAGGTTGCGATCGGGACCTATATATATTTCAATTCCGATCCACTCTCCGATCCCAATCCTAGTCGTGATTTTTTTAAAACTCTCCATCCCCCAATCCCCCCTTTGACTTTTTCATCTTTTAAATGGACTCGATCCTACGTACATGCTTGAAGTTGATTCCCAATGAACGTATTACAAAAAATTGGATCAGAATCGAAACCAGGTAGGTTTGTCAGTCCCAAAAAGTGAGGCTCGTGGTCCGGACCGAGAACTTATATACCCATCCCCGATCTTAAACCGATCTGGATCGAGAAACATGTCTCGATCCTGATCTTGATTAAAAAAATGGTCGCGATTTGATCTTAGGACCAAGACCTTGTCTAGGAATACCACTTTTGTTTTACCATGCCCAATTTATTTTGAATCCTCCAACATATATACACAATTCACTTGGGATCGAGAAAAAGTCTAGGAGAGCATATAAAAAAACACTATAAGAATTGTTTATATTTATGTATATGGTTGTTTTTCTAGTTCAACTAAGCTTTCAACTTTTCTTTCAAGTTCAACCATTTCGCTTTCAACTAGAATTTAAGGACCAAATATTTTCGGAGTAGGTAGAAGATACGTAAAAGATACTCTATATGACTACTTGCATTATATTAACGTTTTGACAGTGTAATGGAAATATGAATGGAATCCTCTCGATCAGCACTTACGAGTTGATGATGATCCCATTATTCCCATACTTGTGAAACATTCTTCCTTGACAGAAAAAAACAATTAAGGTAATAATTAATTAATAGTACGTGTCTAATGACAATAGATCGGGCCATGCACTTTCGTAGTGTCATCTCATCATAGCTTGAATTGATGAGTATTTGACTTTGACGGCTTCTTTTGTTAGTTTATTCTTAAGTGGGTAACGGGTTGGTCTTCTTTCCTCACCAACTATTTCGTAGGCTAATCAATCATACTTCAAAAAGTCTGAATTGGTGGGATGACTACAATCAACGCAATTAAGTAAACAAATTATATGCGAATACTACCTCCGTCCCACTAAGATTGGGACAAGAGAAGGTGACACGATTATTAAGAAAAGTGAGTTTGTGTGGTTGATATTAAATTGATAAAGTAAGAATAAAGTAAGAATGATTTAGAGCCACACAAACTTTACCAAATTTGATATGGGACAATCTTAGTGGGACTTCCCAAAAAGGTAAAATGAGACAATCTTAGTGGGACGGAGGGAGTAGTTTTTATAAAAGTGTTGATCAAATAAATTACTCCGTACATTTTCAAAAATGTGATTATACAGTCGTTTAAATGTAAAAAATTGAACGCAAAAATAACTACTGAAAGTTATTAATTACTACAATTACTACTCGATCTAATATGGTACATTGTGTAAGCATTTTTATTTTAATCCGTAATTATTTAAATTTCAATAATAAAATGGTAATTATTTTTCTATACCAACAACCACGATTGAGTGAATTACAGGATCGAAAAATAAATTGTATGAGAGTACTGAGTACAGAGCGAAGGATTCTACACAAAAAGACCATCTGATTTGTGCATGCTCCAAATTTCGCTCATTTTCTCAGTAATTCTTTTATCGAGATGGAATTCTGGACTAAGTTGTTTTTCCATTTTAAATAGGTTGCAAAGAATATCTCCAAAATTCCCTAATTCTAATGGGAGAAATCGGAGGAAATGATTACAATCATCCCTTTCTGCAAGGCCATTCCAAGGAAGATGTCGTCACATATGTCCCAAACGTTATTAACGCTATAAGCTTAGCTATTAATGTGAGTATATGTCTTTTCCTAATACATAATTAACTTTTATTTACTATAGTAAACGAAACTTTTATGTACCTAGTTGTATCATCTAAAATCTAAAATAATCGGGGATAACCGATTGATATATGCAGGAACTGATTGAACTTGGTGCTCAAACACTAATAGTTCCCGGAAATTTGCCTATTGGATGCTCAGCTGCCTACCTCACTCAATTTTCTACTATGAATAAGAAGGATTATGATGCTAAAACTGGTTGTATTAACTGGCTTAATGACTTCTCTCAAATCCATAATCAACTGCTTCAGGATGAACTTGACCGCCTTCGCCAACTTCATCCTAATGTCATTATTATTTATGCTGATTATTACAATGCGGCAATGAGAATTTACCGCACACCTAGTCAATTTGGTAATTTTCATCTCCGACACACTTTTTTACTTCTTCATGCTTGAATGATCATATATCATAGAGAAACGGTTGTAGAGTCAGTAATATGATCTAGAGCGGGGTTCTTATTATGGAAGGGTCGAGATCCCCTTCAGTCTCTCCCTCACTCCACTGATTAGGAGCGTAGCTCGGGAACCCCAGCCCTGACGCAGCTCAAATTTAAAAAATATCTGTATTTTCAGCGTAAAAAATTTCGTGTAAATGTTTTTCCAAAAATATTATTTATACGGGCACAGTGCTCTGGCTCCGCCCCTGTCCCTAATAGAGACAATTTTACCAAATAAAAAGGTGAGATATGTAATTGATGATTTTTTTATGTGATGCATGTAACAGGATTTGCAAGTACCACAAGTGCATGTTGTGGAGGTGGGGGTCCATATAACTATGACTCCACAGTTAAATGTGGCGGGGCAAGGTCAACGGTGTGTGATGACCCTTCAGTGTATGTTAGCTGGGATGGAATGCATTTGACTGAGTCCGCATATCGTTCCATAGCTTCAGGATTGCTTCAAGGCCCATACACTACACCCCGCATGCATGACTTTCTTTCATTGAAGAGCACCTTGAGTATGCATGGGGAAATATAAAGATGATGATTATTGTTATTTAGTTATTAGATCAAAGAGATGGTTAATTATGTTACCATATAATATGTTCATCATTATATACTAATACTATACCATATATAGCTAGGGGCATTTCTCTATCTATTAAAATATAATATTGTACAAACTACAGATATGGATTTGTTTCTACGTTTCGTAACCCATGAAAGAGTAAATAATAAAATACATTATCGTGCGAGAACTCCACCTCAAATACCAGTGCAAAGTAAAAGTAGACCAACAAAGATTAATCAGAGGTTTGGAAAGTTGAACATGAAAAATCAAATGATCTAGCTAGCAATAGTGCCAAAAACTATATAGAAGGATAAACCTCTGGTATACAAGTTCTAATATAATATACGAGTACTACGTAGTACGTAATAATAAACAAAAAACTCGTAAATGACCAGATTACCAATCCACAATGAATTGATTATTTGCCAAGTTAATGGTAAAATGTGAAATATGACAAACCCAAAAAGTTCTTGGATTTGGATTCAACAAGGAAAAATAGTCAATCTCGTTTGGGGTTACACCAATATAAGTATATAACAGCCAAGTGAGAAAATATGTTGACTACCAAAAAAATTCTACGAGGTCACTATTAATTTTCTGATTATGAGCCCGTTTGGTACAACTGAAATCAGCTGAATCGGCTGATTCTATTGAAATTTATGAATTTCTGGCTGAAGTGGCTGTATTGACTAATTCTGATGATTTAAGAATAAATTATATTTGAAATATATTTTATTAATAAAATAAATAAAAAAATTATACTCCGTATGAAAATTAGCTAAAATGGTCATATATAGTACTTCAGCCAAATAACCAATACAACCAGAAAAGTGACTTTAACCTTACTTTTTCTTATTATTACACAATTCAACGCATGAAAAACAAAGTCATCAATGGGGCTACACGTCTTACATATTGGAAACATGATCACCGCTCTTTGTGAGCCGAGTCCCTTACGAATCACGTTAAACGAAAGGCATTCATATTTAGTGGTGGCCTCGGGCCGGTTCGGGCCCGGCCGGTTCATGTTTTGGGTGACCCGAGCTCGGACCGGAAACCCCTCGGGTCGGGCCTACCCAGACCGGTCACTGGCCGGGCCACCGGGTCGAGTCGGACCGGAACAGTGCCGGTCCCGGGCCGATCCCGGGTGGCCCGAGTCCACCACTATTCATATTGACGAATAAGATACCAATGTATTAATTACTTCATTCATTCTTTTTTAATTTAACGGTAACTTTTCAGCGTTTTCCAATGCACAAGTTTGACCATTAATATCTTTTTCATTCAGTATTAATAAAACAATTAAAAAGTTAGGATTTTGAAAATTTACCACAGTTAAATAGATGTAACATAATTATATAGTATTCACATCCTTATCTTAATCCCTGCAAATATGACTCTTTGTTTTAGGTTCTTTAAAAAAACAGTTAACCTTGATGTACTATTTTGTTATTAATTCACCTGTAACTCTAAATCACTCTATCTATTTAATTAGGAAAACATTGTTATTGTTTGCATAAATCTACTAGAAGCTTTTAAATATATTTTCTTATAACTTGGTTGTAGATTTGGTCATGTAACTGATAACTTTAATTTTTGCAACTTCAACTACAAAAAAATTATGGTATTGGCACGGATTTGGCACAGATTTTTCATTTTTTTCGTGCCAAATAGCTTGAGCCAAACTGTTTTTGGCACGGATTTGGCATATCTCTGCCAAAATTTAAGCCAAATTTGGAAAGTCGCTGCCAAAAATCCCTATTAATCCCGTTTTTCTTTGTAGTGATTAAGGAATTTTCCATCGGAAAATATACTTTGCGGCAAACAATTCAACGCCAGAAACAATGTTTTTGGTGAGTTTACAGTCGGAAAATGTATTTGTTGTCTGTAAAGTTATCCTTAAATTGCAATGATTTATTAGTTACATGACTAATCTGCAAGTGAGTAAAGTTACATAAGAAAGAACAATTTTTGTTTTACTTTTCATTAGATTGGTCAACAAAAAATTAAAACCTACAAATGAGATCATAAAATATGTTATTACAAAATCATGATCGATCAGGAAGAATGTAAGAAGGCCAGGTAAATAAGTACTTGGGCCTAATAGTTTTTTTCTTCGATGTTCGATATACCAAACTGAATTGATCGACAAACCTACTGAAATCGAAACGAGCAAAACCGAAATCAACCTTCAAAATTGATCGACTAAAATTACAACCAACTGCCGCAACAGACTAATTCGTGTTGATTCGGTCTACGGTTTATACTTTTGGGTTAAACAAACCGGCAAAACCAAAATTAGTCGACAAAATCTGAATAAACTAAGCTAAAATCAATTGAAACCGATACAAATCGTCCAAAACAACCCAATTTTTTTGTTCCGACTTTCGGTTTCATATGCCCTAAAAGTTGCTAAAACAGACCAATTAAAAACCGATCTGGCCAAAATTAATCAAAACTGACACCGACGAAATCGAACCGACGAACATGACCCCTAGATGCATGGTACATTTTTTATATACAATGAAGCTAATAAATATTTCCGGCTTGCATAAAAAAACTATTTCCGGCGATCCTCTAATGACTATTCAAAGATACATGTTTAAATGAAAAAAAAATGAAAACTATTCGGACTAAACTGTACATGCTAAATTGGTAATTACTGTGAGATCTCACAAGTCGCAAATGTGAAATATCCTGACCATCAGGCCTGCTGACCATTGTGAATTTGTGACCTTTTGGATGAATCTAGTCTTCGATCTCTTACACATTCTTGTCAAGACTTATGTCGGCCAATAATTACTCCATATAGAGAAGTTGATATAAATAACAATATAATAATGTAACAATATTTTAACATAATTACATAAACTCCGGGTCAATCTACTCTTTATCTTTAGTGATCATTTTGGGCACATCTGCTAATCATATAGTTTAGCATGTAGCTTATGTGACACTACTAATACTACATATCCCGCGCGCCGGCCATCTAAATATCTGATTTTTATATTAGGATTCGCTTTCAGCTACCAACCCCGCAATAATGGATGAGAACAGTAACGTATAACGGTACAAGGAGACTTCAGTGTAGATCTACAAGTAGGTTATGGATAGAGATTCATCAGTTCACTACGTCTAGCTCACCAAGTTCCTAAATCCTACTACGAATTGTTCTTATTCCATTTTTTTTTTGCATGGATATGATAAATTCAGTACAAATATAATTAAAAAAAGATACTTTCATAGCGCGCAGTTAGCTGACATACTTTACATATTGCTAAGGATTGAGCAAAAAAAATGGGACCACTAGGTCACAAACGTGTTAATAATCATAAATCTTGGCCTAGAACCTAAAAATGGTTGGGTTGCGCCCTTAAGAGTCCTAAATGCTAAATTTGGAGGTTTTGGACTCCCAATTATGTGTAGTAGTCGGTTAGATGGGTTAAAAAGTGAGAAAGGGGTTGGAGGGTATTAAACGGGGAGGGGAAAAAAGGGAAAAGGATAAAAAATCCGTGAGCCGTGGAGTGCGTGGACCAGGGAATCCTGGACCATATACTCATACCAATACGATAGTATATACCAAAGCATTTGCGTGTATTATATGTCAGTCACATATTAGGGAAAGTGGGGATGAGTCGCGGCGAGAGGTGAGATGAGTCGATACTAATATTCGAGACCATGTATATCTCAAATATTTCGTGCAAAATGGGTCATTTTAACTTAGACTATATATTTCTGATAAATATATATGAGAAGAACACTAATATGTTGGATTAATTATTGGTGTGAAGAACACTAATATGTTGGATTATTTTTCCATATGTTTAATACTCTCTCCGGTTTTAATTCAATATCTCACTTTCCTTTTTTGATAGGTCTAAAATTAACTTCACACTTCTTCTTTCCTTATTTGGCAAATAATCTACATCAAAATAGTGCAAAACAATACAAAACAGTGTCAAACAGTATTTCAACAGTGTACTCTACCGTAAAATCAAATTTATTCGTCGCTTAATCTTTTCCCGTCACCAAAATACTTTATACCATACCTATTCGTCACTTATCTTTTCCATCACCGTAGGGAGTATAGCATACCTATTCGTCACCTAATCTTTTCCGTCACCAAAATACTTTATACCATACCTATTCGTCGCTTTCTCCCTTTTTCTTGGTAACTTGTAAGCAATGTCTTCTCATTGAACGCTTTCAAGTAAAGCTAACAACCAATTGCTTACGGGGAATGACTTATAAGTTGCGGAATCTGAAAGTTTCGTGCAGACTTTATCCATCACATTAACTTCAAACATTTGAAAAAAGTAAAACCATCAAAATAGTGAGGGAACCGTTTACATGATATTTGCATTGGTTACATTTTTCATATTTTGGTTGGGTTAATGAATTAAAGTATTGGCATGGTGAAATTGTAAACCATGCTAATCAATATAACAGCATATTAATGATTTAATTTAATGTCTATTTCAGGTTTTTATTTTCAGCTTTTAGAAATGAGAAAATAATTAAAATACCTCAAACTTTAAAAGAGTTTGAGATTAATACCCCAAAATTTCATATGTAATTTAAATACCCCAAACTTTATATCAAAACTTATTTTAGCACCATGGTCATGTATTACTTCTTTCAAAAATGTAAATTTGTGGTGTTAATTGCATAATTTAAAACAACAAATAAAAAATAATGCAATTATGTAGAGTGAGGGTAATATTATTTATTTTACAATGAAAGTTTATAATGTCAACCGTGTCTTCATGAATGCTAAGATGTTTTAAATTATGAAATTAACATAAAAAATTAACTTTTATGAAAGAAATAATGCATGATCATGGTGCTAATATAAAATTACTTTTTATATAAAGTTTGGGGTTTTTAAATTACATATGCAAGTTTGGGGTGTTTACTTTGTACCCCTTCGAAGTTTGGGATATTTTAATTACTTTTCCCTTTAGAAATAGAAACATTTATATGCCATATCTATTTAGTAGTTAATGAATAGTTAAACTATTTGTCTCGATCACAATAAATAAAACAAAGAAAAAATTACATTAATATAACTACCTTAAACCCCACTAACAAAAGTATGACTATTTGCCCTACTTTTACTCCTTGGTTGCCGTACGAGTTCCTTATGAATAGTCACTTTTTTGTAATCCCAAATATTATTGGTAATATTTATGTAAAAAAACTCATAAATATATCACTTGGAAATAATAGAAAATAGTGGATTAAGGAGCGCAAGGGTTTCTGGGCACGGTCGCCGCCTGCTGTTCCTGGATCAGCCATGGCCATCGCTTCTCCACAAATGATGGCGTCAATTTAAGTTACAGAAAAATTGTGGTGGAGTTTTTTTTCGGGCGACTTGTTCGTGTCTGGCGATTTCCTCTGTTTTCTGCTGCTTGGTGGCTTTGTGAGATTGCCTTCGGCTTCAGTATCTTTGCTACTCTTGCGATTTTGAATTCAGTTTGCCTTGTGTATTTACCAGGTGGGTGATTTTCCGTTTTTGCTACTGTGTGAATCGAGTGACTTTGATTTCGATCTCAGCGGATAATATATAGGTTTGGCTCCATGAATATTTTGAGTTGGGACTGTAGAGGTTTGGGTAATCCGGCCACTGTTCAAGGGTTGTCAGATATTATTCATCAACATCGGCCGACGATTGTGTTCTTGATGGAGACTAAATTGAGGTGTCAGCGGCCTAAAGAGATTATTCAAGCGAAAGGGTTCGCAAATACAGCGGGAACTGATAGTTATGGTAGGAGTGGGGGGCTGGTTCTCGGTTGGAATGATGATGTGCAGTTGTTGGTCATCGAAGAGAACCCAAACTTCATTGATTGCAAGGTGAGTTCATCGACGGGCAATATGGACTCGCAGTTAACTTGTTATTATGCTTACTCGGAGACGGTTCATAGGCGAGTGGCCTTGAACATGATGAAGGGTTTGGCGGATAATAATTCTCTGTCATGGTTGGTTATTGGGGATTTTAATGATATCTTATATGAATCAGAAAAGAAAGGAAGAGTTCCTCATCCTGTATGGAGAATGCGTGGTTTCCAGGAAGCTTTATTGTCGTGCGGTCTACGAGATTTTCCATTTGATGGATACTAATGGACATGGGAGCGAGGAAAGGGGACACAGTATTGCGTGGAGGAGAAACTTGATCGGGTTCTTGTAAATGATGAGTGGTGGGATAAATTTTCGGATGCTAGAGCAACGATGGTTGAAGCCCCAGTTAGTGATCATATGGCTCTGTGGATGTGTATTGTTCCAACTACTCGAAAGAGGAAGGCTAGGAAATTTATATTTGAGAATAATTGACTGTGGGAGGAAAGATGTAGAGCAGTAGTAATTAATAGTTTGGGAGTAGGCGAACATATGCCTGTGAATGAGAGAATTCTTTTTTGGGGAAAAGAATTATTGTGGTGGGATCAATGCCGTACAAAAGGTTATCATCATCAAATAGAGGCATTTTAAAAAAGGCTGGAAGACCTATGTGGTCGAGATGATGAGGGGAGTGTGGCCGAATTTGTTAGAGTGAGGATGGTGCTTCAAACATTGATGGAAAAGGAGAACCAATATTGAAGACATCGAACAAAAGATTTTTGGCTCAAAGAAGGTGATATTAATTCTTGTTTCTTCCATAATGCAGTTAACAGAGGCGGCGTAAAAATAAAAGGGGGGACTTGAAGATGGAAGATGGGGAGTGGGTCTCGAATAGAGGTATGCTTGCAGGCATTATTAAAAATTATGTTTCTGACCTATTTAGTCCAGTTTCGGGCAGTACAACAGAGTGGGAGGGTAGAATTTCCCCCCCAAGTTTAGGGTAGACAGAATGGGAGGCTTACCTGTGCTATCAGTCCAGAGGAGGTTAAAGAGGCCATTTTTGACGTGCATCCAGAGAAAGCGCCTGAGTCAGACGGGATGAATCTAGCTTTTTTCCAAAAACTTTGGTACATAGTAGGTCCAGATATCACGCGGCTTTGTACAGGTATTTTTGATACAGGGGTCATGCCTATGGAATTAAATATAACTAATATTGTTCTAATTCCTAATATTGGAGGCCGATTGCTTTGTGTAATGTGGTTTTAGTAATGAGCCGAGTGCTAAAAGCAAAATATTTCCCAAATTGGAGTTGTTTAGATGCTAGATTGGGGAGTAATCCTTCATTTATTTGGAGAAGCATTTTTGAAGCACAGGCTGTGATTAAAAATAATATTAGAAGGCGGGTGGGTAATGGTATTAAGGTACAATTATGGGCGGATGCGTGGTTACCGGGACGCGGGTCAGGGAAGATCACTTCACATCGGCCTCTCGGAATTAGAGACATGAATGTGGCAGCTTTCAGGGATATTACGGGGAGGCATTGGAATGTTGATCGGATAAACAATTTATTTAATGAAGAGGATAGACTCTTAATCCTTAGTATCCCTGTTAGTGCCCAAGACCGTAAGGATGGTTATTGGTGGAAAAGGGAAAATAATGGAGATTATTCGGTGAAGAGTTGTTATAGATCGCTTATGGGCGAGTTCCAGGTTGAGGGCTGGAAGGGGTGGAAGCAATTATGGGACCTTAAGGTCCCACCAAAATTTAAATTTTTTGTTTGGCAAGTTTTAGATGGCTCACTCCCGGCAGTTGACAGCCTCAGGAAAAAGGGGTGGTGATACCGCATGGATGCAAGCTGTGTGGCGGCGATTCGGAGTTCGTGGAGCATGCTCTATGATCATGTGACAGTGTCCAGCAAGTCTGGAGTGCAATGGGTGGATTTGCAGAGTTGCAACAAACCGAGGAGGCAACTTGGCGTACCAGTCGGTTCAACAAGCTGGACGTGGAAGATAGGAGCAGGTTTGTGGCTATTCTGTGGAGTATTTGGAAGAGAAAGAACAACACGGTTTGGAATGATTAAGTGCAGGAGACATCATGCGTTCTTAATACAGCGGCTAGCATGCTGGCTAACTGGAAAGAAGCACAAGATCTGGGGCCGTTTAAATCAGCTCAGGGCGGGGCAAGAAAGGAATATTGGGTTAAACCGAGACATGGAAGAATCAAAATTAATGTTGTTGGAGCGGTGGACCAAGATGGTCAGAAAAGAGCATGGAGATGGATTGCTAGAGATGACAGTGGAGCTTTTCTTCGAACTGTAGGTGCCTCTAGTACGGCAGGATGGACTGTAGCTGAGACAGAGGCTATAGGTATATGGGATGCTATCCGTGCAACAAAAGAGGAGGGCTGGCAAAAGGTGAAGGTTGAAACGGACGCACTTTCAGTGGTACAGGGTATTATATAAAAGGAGAGGGTTCGTCGAACCTTCACCTTATCATTGATGATATAAGGAAGATTTTAGAAGCAAAGAGTAATTTTATTGTCTCTTTTTGTAGAAAGTTTGCGAATCGTGCTGTTCATGTTCTTGCAAGGGCGCATGTTTCTATCTCAGATCAGAGGATTATTTATTATGAGATTCCTCAACGTGTTGTAAGCCAACTAACGAATAATTTATTAAATTAATACTTCCGTATAAGATGAAGTACTTCGTATAATATTCGTTTTGATGATAAAACAAAATCACTTGGAAATATTTCTAAGATGTCAAATTGCTGCCACTCCCAACTAGACGTCATATTTTTGTATAGGAAGTTAGGCACCATGGAGTTCAAACTTCATAGAATTTTTACTTTACATAGATTAACTTATGTACGTATTTCAAGTTCATTTAAAATACAAATTAAACGGGTTATTACTCCGTATTTGTCATTTCATGGGAAAATGGAAATTAATAATCCAATCTTTTAGGTCTTCTTAAAATAGTCCCACCTTTTCGTTATTCAAGAATAATCCAACCTTTGCATCTCATCTTCATTCGCTGGTCCTTGACCGGTAAATGACCTGCTATTTCAAGTTATTTTCTTATCTTTACAAAATATTATCTTTGTGAAAGGTGAGATTTATGATATAATGGTTTGCAAAGATAAGAAATTAACTTGAAATAGCAGGTCATCAACCAGTCAGGGACCAACGAATGAAGATGGGGTGCAAAGGTTGGATTATTCATGAATAACGAAAAGGTGGGACTATTGTAATAAAACCGCTAAAAGGTTGAAGATGGGGTGCAAAGGTTGGATTATTCATGAATAACGCCACATTCACGTGTCTGTCCCACCTTTGGATTATTGTCTGTCATTCGCTATTCAATTGAAAGAGAAAACAGAAACTAATAATCCAACCTTTTAGCGGTTTTTTTACGTGATAAGAAGATTCTAAGATATTAGGGAGTGAGCTATTGAGTCATTGTCATACTCAAATTAAAGTCAAATAGAGTTTCAACTTTCCAAGACTTGGTCAATTTAAGTACCTTGATGAGCTGTTTTGTAATGCGACTACGGGAATGTTTGTCATTGCTTATGTTGTAAAAAATGATTTTTTTAAAGTCATTTTGATAAAAGTACTTCGTATTAAAAGTTGATAGTGTTTGATAAAAAAAAGTTGAAGTGCTTGATAAAAAAGTGTTTTTAATGTAATGTTTTGGTAAAGTACAAAAATGCCATTGCAGCTTACCATCTCTGCAACGACCCATCTCCCCACCATCTCTCATCTCCGAAACGACCGATTGAAAATTACAGAGCATAAATTCATCGTGCAGCCCAATAAAATTAGAGTGGAGCTAGGTGTACACAAAAGTTGTACACAAAAGTTGTACACTTGTCTGCCCAGCGCAAATAAATTGTATGTCTGGAGATGAGTTGTCTGTCCACTGACAACTCACTTCCGGACAGACAATTTATTTGCGTTGGACAGACAAGTGTACAACTTTTGTGTACACCAAGCATTTTTCATAAAATTAACCGGTCGCCACATTCAATTGAAAATTAAAGATTGAAAATTAGAGGGCAAAAGATTGAGATCGAATAACAGTCGAATAAAATCAATTGGGTTTCTTTGCAAAAAGAACCGCGCATCCCCCAAATTCGTCGTCGCCGCCATTGAGACCACCGGTTGAGTTTCAACAACTTTGTTTACAATTAAAGATTGTAACTTATGGAGTGAAAGATTGAAAATAATAGTCCAATAAAATCAATTGGGTTTCTTTGCAAATAGAATGCCCCCAAATTCATCCCCCTCACTGCCATTGAGACCACCGATCGAGTTTCAATAGCTTTGTGCGCCCTTCTTTAGTTCAATAGACCCTTCTCTTGGTTGCTATCGCTGAAACTTTTCGTAGCCACCGGAGCTTTTCGCTGCCGTCGTGGGACGAACACTAATAATAGCAGTGTGTCCAACTCAGTCCAAGGATCAAAAGAAAAGATTAGAATCGGAAGAAGGTTGATGTGAGATGAGAAACCAACCGGTGACACAAAGGTTCCGGGGAATATACAAAAAAATTAAAAAATATGTATATCATCATAATTGTCCTCAAAGTTGAAAGTATTTACAAATATAAAAAAACAAAAAGCACTTAGAAGAACCCAATACCCAGCTTCTAGCTTTTAACTTTAAAACACTTTTTTTTATTAGAAGCGGCGATTAACAAACACAATATTTAGCATTTTTTAATCTAAAAGCTAAGCTTAGAAGTACTTATTTAAAGTTATAGCAAACCTAAGATGTCGGAGGTACATTGAAATTGAAAGAAGAGAAACTAGAACTGAACAATGATTAAAGGTTGTCACAAGGTGGTGCATTCGATTCTCGAACATCTATTGCAATTTGCAAGGGTTATCACATACATGTCCTGAAAAGTAAGAGTAATTGAAGGCCATGAACAAATAATTAATGTCTTTTACATTATGTTTTTACACTTCGAGTGAACGTTAACATACGATATACTATAACAACTTGCACAACATCCATAAGTGAGCCAATAACAACTTGCGATTTCACTCTATGCTAGAACTGTAAACATAAAGGAAAAGACATATTGAGCATTACTTATGAGATTGTTCATCGACAAATGGATACAAGTTTATACACCCTATATATTTCGATACTCACAATAACACAAGTAAATCAGTGTTTATGCTAAAAATAAACTATTCTAATATGAATATGAATGAAATAATAGTGTATTTAAGAATATTAATTAGCATTAATTAGCTTTCCATATTTTACCAGTTTCCTATTGTAAACAGGATACTTCTTTATTATATATATGACATCCAGGGCTACCACATGGGTAAGCCATTCCATTATTCTCACATGGTATCAAGAGCTCTAGGGTTTTAACATACATTATTTTTTTTTTCGGCCCTATGTCTTCCGAAGAAACCGCCGCCGCCGCGCCCTCCTCTGTCACCGCCGCCATCTTTATGACGCAACCGCCTTACCGCCTGTGCTGAGCGCGGTTTCCACGCCGGTTGCTACACTGGTGGTTAATCCTTTTTCCTCCACCACTCTGGCACCATTCTCCATCTTCAACGAGCAGCAGAGTTCGGTGTTTACAACAGCAATTTCTGCGCCGCCGTCTTCATGGGTCCCGCCTATCATCACATGGACGCCTACGGTTCCGAGCTTGCCGCAGCAGTCATCGTTTGCCGTCGGGGAGTCCAGCAGCACCGCCAAACGTCGCTACACCGGCTCCACCCTCTCGGGCAGTTCGGGATTGCTTCTTCCGTCCACCATTGGGCCGGTCGGACGTCGGGAGGTCCCTCCCATTCCCACCTCGTTTGCAACTCTTGGTCAAGGTATGGGTTTTGGTGCTTCCTCTATCACCACTATTGTGACCATTATATAACTTGTTGTTGAAGATTATTTACCCTGGCGTACTCAGTTTGAATCCTTCCTAATCTCCAATGGTCTTTTGGGTATACTTGATGGATCCCTGCATGCCCCACTATTATACACCTATGATTTATCTCAAACCCAAACCATGAATCCTGTGTATTATCACTGGTTGCGTTTAGATCAGACTGTTCGTTCTTGGTTGTTTGCTACCCACTCTCATGATATTCTTGTTGAGGTGCATCAATTAAAGAATTCTGCTGCCATATGGGAACGATTAGAGGCTCGTTTTATGGCTGCCAGTCTGGCACGATCCATGGAATTAAAACAAATGCTGTCACACATGAAAAATAAAGAAAATCAGTCCATGGAACAATATTTGCTTGAAATCCAGAAAATTGCTGAGTCCCTAGCATCAATTAATTCTCCAATTTCTGATCATGATCTCTTGCAATATGCACTTTTGGGGTTGGGTCCGGGATACGAGTCATTAGTGTGACCTCTAACTCTATTTCCGGAGGGCCTCACTTTTGACAAACTATGCACTAAGCTTGTCCATCAAGAATCCCGGCTCCATTATCAACAGCGCCTCGACTCCAACCTCGGTGCCCCGGCTTTTGCAGCTCCCAGCCATCCACCTGCTGGCCCAGGACAGCAGCCGCAGCCGCCGACGCAGCAGGCTCTGAACCAGCATCAGTAGCCCGCGCAGCGGGGCGGGCGTGGTCGGGGCAGAGGGCCACGTGGCCTAGGCAATCGGTGTCGCGGACTGGGCGGCGAGTAGCAGCAACATCAGCCTCATTACGGACAGCAACCGCCCTATGGGCCTGGACAGCAGCCCTACGGCCGAGGACCTCTTGCGCAGATGATGGGTATACCCGGTACAATTAATTGTAATTCAGTTGGGTCATTGTTTTATACTCCTTCACCATCTATTTTTTGTGCTAACTATGCTTCTGCAGGATCTTTACCTTTTGAGAGTAATTTTGGTTCAGTTCCACCTCCCATCGTCTGTCAAATTTGTCACTCTCCAGGTCATTCTGCCGTCCATGTTCATCCCGTTTTAATCAACCATCTACACCCGCATTAGTTGTGCCTACTGGTGAAACTTCCTCCACTGTTTGGTATCCTGACTCTGGCGCTTCCGCTCATATGACCCCTACTGAAGGTATTTTATAAAATAAATCTATTTATTGTGGACCGCTAACTGTGATGGTTGCTAATAGATCTCATTTACCTGTTGTGACTGTTGGTGACTTAGCCTTACCTTCTCCGCCGCGCTCTCTTCATTTAAAATCTGTTTTTCATGTTCCTCACCTTAAATATAATTTGCTTTCCATTCAAATATTATGTGCCGATAGTAATTGTTTTGTGATTTTTGATAAAAACTCTATTTGCATTAAGGACCACAATTCGGGGGAGGTGCTTCTTTGAGCTTCTAATAAAGGTGGTGTTTATCCTATTTTCTTGCCTTATCCATCATCAATTGCCTTAGCTACTCATGTTGCTCCGGGACCTGTCTGGCATCGTCGGTTGGGACACACTGTGGCAGTCGTATTATAGATAGACTTACAAAGTCTGGTTCTATTTTTAGTACTTCTAATTTTTCCCATGATTGTATTTCTTGGGTGTGCCTGTTTTCTTTTATTTAATTAGCTTTCCGTATTTTACCAGTTTCCTATTGTAAACAGGATACTTCTTTATTATATATATGACATCGAGGGCTACCACATGGGTAAGTCATTCCATTATTCTCACATGAAATGAGAATCAAGCAAACAAGAATGGAAGATGGATTGATCGGGAATAAATAATACGTAGTACTCCC